TTCGTTGTTGGTTCTGAGTCCAAAATAAGATTCTAAAAAAAAAAAACAAAGCAAACGTTATCATTTTATCATTTCATTTTCCAACCACTATATCCCTTAGTTTTCAGGGAAAAGCTTAAACTTTTTAAGTTCACAAATAAGCTTTTTCATCACAGGGCTTTTATTTATCTATCTTGGTCACTTAGACTCTACCACATACTCCCCTTTACTCTATGCATAAGTATGAAAGACGTCAGCCTCCTGCATGCTTCTGAGCCTTTACAGAGGCTGCTCCTCCATTTTGGAATCCTCTACTCTACTGCTTCATCCGTCTGATTCCAACCTACTCTTCAAAACATAAGTCAAGCATCACCTTCTGCAAGAATACTTCAGTACATCCCTAGCCACTCTACCTCTGCCTGAATTTGACGAATCTTTCAGAGTGCTGCCAAATGACCTGGACATTTCTTCAGATGTTATTATACTAATTAGTTTGTTTAGCTGTCTTCTCCATTATACTGCTTACTCCTTGAGGGCAAGAACATTTATTATGCTAAGATTTTATAATTTTTGTGGCTGGAAGAGAATAGACAGTAGATTGATGGCTGAATAAATGAATGAATGAACACATCCATGAAGAAAATAGTAATAAAAATAAATTCTTTGCAAGCTTAGCCTTTTTTAATCTTGTGGATTTTCCATTCTCGGCTGTCAACACTGCTGAACATCAGTAAGGTGTATTTAGTTCAGTGTGTTTACGTCCTTCTGCCCTATTAGGTGATCTCAATTGAAATTTTAAAAAAAGATGGACATTTTGCCATATTCTGTCTATTAATAATGGGCATCTTAGACTTCCTTGGCGGGTGAAATCGTAGTGACTGCATAAATTTGATTCTCCCAACATTACCCCTAACAAATATACAGATCAACAAAAAAATTATAAAACTATACAAATTCCATGCCTCCAACCTAATAACAAGGTGGAAAACACTATAAAACCTCAAATAAGAAAAAGAGAAATAGAAAATAGAAGCATCGATTTCTGCTGGTCATACCTCTTGAATTCTTCTCCAACATTTTGTAAAGAGCAAAGAAATGTCCAGGGGATGGGGGACCTGCCAGAAGAGGAAAATGCGGAGAAAAGACTGAACAAAAACCATCTTGAGAAAGCAAACACCCAACCTAAGGGAAAATATTAAAAAAAAAAAAAAAAA